GAGAGAGAGAGAGAGAGAGAGAGAGAGAGAGAGCGAGAGAGACAGACAGACAGACAGACAGAATAAAAAATGACGCGCTTAGAAGTACCTCGTACCGCCTTAAGATAACCACACCCGCTGGACTAATGTTCGAAGCTCGATGCGCGCAAAAGAAGCACGCCTCCGAAAACATGTGGTGCTTCTATAGGACGAGAAGCAACCGCTACCACAGGCGTAGAATACGTCTACACGCACCTCCCGACCGAGCAGACCGCTCTTTACCGCGGCGGAGGTCAGCACGTCCCTGGGGATGATGCTATTGTCCACTACCACGTCCGCCACCAGCACCTGCCGTTTGATGCGTTTCGACATGTCAGATGGCACGCAGTTGTTTACGTCGTTGTTGTTTGCTGTTGTGTTGGGGGTTCGAATGGAATGGAGTATCAAATACTCTTGCTCTCTTTGCTTTTTTGTTGTTGTTGTTGCTGCTGCTGCTGCTGCTGCTACTGCTACTGCTGCCGCCACCGCCGCTTGGAATGGTATCCATTGATTCCGTCCTACTTCAGGCTCTCGCTGCTTGTGTTGTTGCTGTTGCTGCTGCTGCTGCTGCTGCTGCTGCCGCCGCCGCCGCCGCCGCCGCTGCTTCGAAGACTTGTTTGTGTCGTCATTGTCATCCTTGGACTACCAACTCATGCTTTGGTCGAGTGAACGTTGAGATACATCAAATCGCCGGTGGTGGTTGCCTTACTGCACGCTATACAAGCAAAAGGCAGACGCTTCCAGATCGTTGTCCAACATCAGCACGAGCCACGCACAGGCAAGCGGTGCCAACCGAACCGCACCAACGACTATTATGGGAGGGCATGTGTGCACACACAACGGCGGCAGAGCACAGGGCGAACGGAAGCAGAGCCAACACGCGTGCGTGCACAACAGCGGTAGAGTACGACAGGACGAACGGAACCGAATAAGTCAATCAAACGGCAACGTGAGAGATAAAACATAACCTTGGATAACTCCTTTTCCGGGTCTTCCTCGGATGCCGTTTCAGCGACGCCCTCTTGCCCCTCCTCACTTGACTTGTCCTGCACAATCGTCGGAGGCGGAGAGGGTTGAAAACGGGCGGGGTTTGCGTGCAAAATACGGGGCATTCATTCGCCAGGGGAGGCAGATTTTTCCACACTCGAGGATGAAGACGGGGGCATGTACTTAAAGTTCAGGGTTCCTCACAAAAATAGTTATCGGTTTACGCAACTCTAGACTACTCCCACACACAACAACTACCGGTGTTCTTTGGCAACAAATACGCCTTGAGGGGCTGTCAAAGAAGCGTCGACCGACATCTTTGCTTACTAGTGCTGCGTCCACGTGGGCGCGTGTGGGGAGGGCATCCTTGAATCCCTCGACCCCTCCCCGGGGCCGCCCGTAATGCAAATCATCCCCACACGCCCACGTGTATCGACAGATTCTCTTGCTCTGCGGGCTCATATCGTACAAAAATAGCGGTGCACTGACACACTCTCGCGTTTCATGGTCCCTTCGGCAAATGCAACAGCTTCGATACCTACAAACAGCAGGCCGGAGTGTTGTTTTCGATACGTTCCATCGCACTGCCGCACAGCGATGCAGTCTAGCGGCTCTCGATGAAACCATCTGTGCAAATCCTGCGAATTTGAAGAAGCTATTTCGATACTGGGAAACATGATCCGCAGCATCATCCACAAACAGGCTACGACACAAACTAACCAACCGCACATCATGTGATATGGTCATCAATACGACGCCCGTACGTGCACTGCGGAGACTGCCGTTGCTGCACCTTCCGGTCCCACGGCATCTTGACCTGCCGCATCGCGTCCTTGACCTCGTTCAGAAACGCGGCGAGACTTCCGCCCGCCGCCGCCAACACCAGCGGCTGCCCATCGCCAAATCCTTCGTCTCCGGCAGAACCGCCGTCATCATCATTACTATCGCCCCTGCCGCTGCCCCTCCCTCTGCCCCCCCCTCCCCCTCCCTTACCTCCACTGCTGTTGTTGTCGTCGTTGTGACCATGATCGCCCGAGGACACCCGCGACAGCAGCGGAGTACGGCAGATGAACGCGTCATAAGCAGACGAGGGCCTGTTGCTGAGCAAAGCGGTCCTTGTTGCCGTCATCGACGTGGTAGGGCCTGGACGCGAGGTTGGCAAGCGGCGGCTTCCCGAGAGCAGCTGAGCTGCTGTCATCCCCGGTGAGGCAGCGGAAGGAGCATGATGATGCTTGATGTTGACGTTGTTGTAGGATGGACAACGCTGCTGATGTTGGATGCTTGCGAGAGGAACGAACGATTCCACCAGGCCGACAAGCACCGCCGTCACCAGGAGGGATATCAACATCGGAAACGCAAGCAATGGGGCCTGCCGTTCTCTACTCTGCACCGCCATCATGCAGCACGCACGCATGCAAAGGTGTTCTGTTTGCCGTGCCAGCAGCCAGGTGCTGGTAGAGTATCACACGGGAGAACGGGAGGCAGAGGGGGGCAGCGTGAACAGAGAGGGGGGTATGATGGGGGTTTCGTGTCTCGGTATGCTACAACAGCAGTGCAAACAATGGTGCACCCGCTCACACGCTAGCTACACACGTCCCATGCTGTACCAAGGCGCATGTAGGGCGAACCGCCTTCTTGTTATACCGGCGGGTGCCGTTAAGAACCACCTCAGTATGACCTGTCGGCTTTTTGTCACCGAACAGACCGCAGCCTATTTACTGCTGTACAGTCTAATCGCAATGCAAATCATACAGATAGCGCCCGCACTAAGAACTTAGCAGCTAAGAAATTGAGACTCGCAAAAAATCAGAAGCTACGAACTTGAGTACCATTTGTGAGCTCGGTTAAGAACCCCACACTTAAACCTTTACAGCGGCCATTTGTAGCCCACAAGAGGATGATCAGGAAAATAAGAACCCCAGCCTCGGCTGAAACTAGAGGTTCTTAACGGGCGCCATCTGTTCCATTCTTAGAAATTAATACGAAGAAGGTCCTTCTTCTACATTCGGGGCCTGGGAGAGGCCTGGGTTATTTGTGCGTTTCTAATGAGATCGATGGATTGCCTCCCCCACGAGATGCGAAACTTATGGCCATTCACATCGGGGAGGTAGAAACTCGTGGAGTTGATAAAGTGGTCACCATGGGTCAGTGGGTCTGAGGGCTTTCTCTACGTCAGTTGGCCCCGCAAAAACTCCGGTAGTACGTCATCAGGGTGTTAACCGACATTATCTAGGTACTACTGCTGTACGCTTAACTACAGCGCATGCACGAATTGCACAATGCACATGTTGTGTACACCGTATCTACCATGCGAACCTTCCAGGTTCGTTCGCGGGTGGGACACAGGCAGGTGGTCTTGGCTACGATACAACAACAGCAGCAGTCTGTTCGCGAATGTTTTCGAGAGGCCTTCTGCCATTGAATATTGAATCCAAAACGAAAAAAAAGTTCCTTCTCTCCCGGGTAATTCACTCAGTACCAATGCCCCGATGAAGCCAACGGTAGCCCCCCCGCTCACGTTCATCACTTCCACGATGATAGTACTAGCCAACAGCAGTACATGCAGTAGTCCGACATGGTCAAGCCCACCGAGCGATTTCTCAAACGTGCCCTCTCTACGGAAGAAACACCAAACAGGCAAAAACCTCGAATTGCAGAGGTTGATAACAACAATGCGTTGAGATCGAATCAATCATCGCCGCATCACCTCTCTCCCCCTCTAGGAAAGCTATAGGCGCGACCGACTTCCTTTTATCTTGCCCGCACAGAACGCTTTCACCGAATACATACATGAATATATAATATACATCAGCTTGAATCGCTCCTCCCGTCGAACCGCCGCCGCCGTCGTTTCTGTGTCTATAAACCTACCAGACAGCAGCCCTACCAAATACCGACTGATGTGAATTTACGGCCGTCTCACTATCATGTCCAACTAGTACCTCCCGCCTCTACCTCATTTTCAAGTCTTTTTTCGCACACACGGCCTTCCATCGGAGAAACGCATAAACATGCTTCCGCTCCAGATGTTCGTCTCCGCACCTCACTACCATGGAGGGCGCTCTCACGGTGCACCAGGGAAGCAACGAACGGGTGGCGAAGGCGCTCTTGAGTGCCGACAAGACAAACCCCTCACGCGCACGTTAGAGTACATGGCAAGTGGAAAACGACAGGGGTTGCAAAGTCCACGCGTGCGTGTGTCCGAAACCTGGCCCCCCTTATGACGCCATTTTTTCTGCTCCTTTCTCTCGCGAGCTTAGCTGTACGTGGACCCACAAGAGACACCAAGAACCCAACACAAGAGCATCAAAACAACAAACACAGCAGGTCATGGCGGCCAGTCACACCTGCATACAAACGCGTCCTGCGAAGACCATGCCGACCGCGCCACCCCCGCCAACATTCTCAAGCCTTCCGGGCTCGTCTCTTGCTCTCACACTTTTCGGCTCCTTCCCCTTGTTGCTGTTCGTTTACTCGAAATGAAATAAGCTCCCATCACCCAACAAGAAGAACGACAAAAAAAAGAGAAACCAAACCACCACACACTCTCACTACAACATCCAAACCGGGCCATGCTTAACCAATATCTGTCAACCAGTACAACTCTGCTGTCTGATATATCCATTGTCGGGTTTCTTCGCTCCAGCCCCTTCCGTTCCCTCTCTATACGGTGGTGGTTTCATGTCTAGAATAAACTCTGCATGCTTTTTTTTCAGGGAGAAAAAAACCACACCAATTGCTGTCATTTTGGCTCCATCGGCAGAGCTATAGCACTCCATCGGCAGAGCTGTAGCACTCCCTCCGCCTCGACGCTGCTCGTTCTTCAATAGCCCTGTAGCCTTGCGTTCAGAAAGAACGGATTGATTGGTGCTCTTGAAACGAAGCAGCAACAACGCAATACCGTTCAATTTTGATGCGTAACGGATCATTTGTACATGGCTGACCCTCCCTCGCCTGTTTCCTCCCCGTCTCGTCTCAGCAAACTCGTGCCTTCAATCCACCAACCGCAGAATCAACATCGCCTGCTCAGGACAAATCACCACTCCCCCCCCCCTACGAAAATCTTGCACCTCAGCAGAGCTTTCCCTAAACTCTCGTCGTGCACTGCACGAACACTCTCTTTCTCTCTCTCTCTCACACACACACTCAGAGAGAGCGAGAGAGAGAGAGAGAGAGAGAACTCGGACCGAAGTAGGTTCCCTCCCCTGTACCCAACAACATAAAAGTGTCGACCACACCGCGGTCGCCATCCCTGGCGACACAGCTTGTCCGTTTTGGCGTTGTCCCACGTGCAGCACCCGCCCACCCATCCCCCCCGCCCAAACCCGACGAGAGAAACGTGTCTCCGCTCGCTGTTTCTTCATCGTGTCCCCTTTCCCCGCAGCTCCCACTTCCTGTCTCCTCCCTTTCTCTTCCTCCTCCGCCCCCACCTCGGTCGCCAAAGCCCCCGACAGCAGCTCCAGCTCTAATGCACCGCTCTTCCTCTTCGCCCCAGCTCTATTGCACGGAAATTTTCCACCACCGCCGCCACCGCCGCCGCCGCCGCTGCCGCCGCCGCCCGCCAAACTCACGGCACACACAAACATCACACTACCCCCCCTTCTCAGCCGCCGTGCCCCCATCCTCCTCCCCCGTCGCCCCCTCCTTCTTGTTCTTCGCCGCCGCCACCACCGCCACCGCCACCTCGGCGGCCTTGCCCACCGGCACCGAGACCCCGGCCTCGTTCTCGAGCTGAACCTTAACGGCGGCCACCTTTCCCACGGGAACGACCACTCCGGCCTGCTCGAGCCTGGCCTTGGTGAGCGAGTACGCCATCACGCCGCCGATAGCGGTCGTGCAGCCCGCCAGTCCCAGGGGGGTGAACCTGTGGTTCAGGACCAGGACGCTGACGATGATCATCACCACGCGCTTCAGGGTGTTGCCGAGCGCGTGCGTCACCGGGTGGATGATGTTGAGCGCGTAGAACGACACCTCGTTGTACCTGATGGGTGGCGGTTCATGGAAAGCACACAGGCGCAAACACACGGGTGTACACGCACACACCGTGTTACACGTGTGGACGGCGAGAGGAAGGGGGGGGGAAAAGAGTGATTATTCCTTGCTCTGATTCAACCCTTCATTTGCTACATCCCCTGGAGAAGCAAGACGGGGTCTCCACTTCTGATCCTGCTTTTCTACAAAGAACCATTTCAGGGCCGAAATCCGAAAGCAGGGCCTACCACGGTGCCTGAATCGCACGAGCCCATGCTTGCATGTACCAGACAAACTAATCTAAACTCCCACACCAATACCGCACGCCAAAAGAAAGCCATCACGGCGTTTGCATACTTGCGATCGTATCCAGCAGGGAGACATTCACATCAGATTGGCATCATCCCGCCGACAAAGAAAGGGGGCCCTTCTCAAGCGCCAACATTCGACAGATCAGACACAAGAACAACAACGCAGATCGCAAGCATTGAATACCACAGGCGGCACACGGTGCATCCAGAGATACATCGGGATAGTCTCTTTTTACAATTTGGTGAACACTAAACGAGATTATTTCTCACCTTAGTAGAAGATATGTGCACCTAAACAATGCTAACAACCAAAGAACCTTTCGCCAACAGAGAAACAACATGTGTGTTCGATTTGTCGTCAAGACACAAAACGAGAAAAAAGGGAGGAAAGTAGTAAAACAAACATGTTGGAACTGGTGTCGAGGAGAATACGGTAGCCGCACCAAAAACAAACGACAGAAAAGGAGGACACACTCACAAATAGAAAAACACCCCGCTTAGCAAGACGTTCTTGACGAGGCTCCGCTGGCTGTGCCCTGCGCTCAACGCCGCGTTCCAAACGCTCGCCACCCTCGGCCCCTCCACCCACAAGGCGGCGGGTGTCAGGACCAAGCACCCCAGCATGGTCATCACGGCGTACAAGTTTCCCGCGCACATCGCTCCCCCGTTCTGCGAATAGCGTCAAGGAAGCAAAGTCGACCACGGTGTTTCACGAACCAACCAACAGCAAAAGTTTCCTTCTGGTAGGATGTTTGTTATTCCAAGGGTTGCAAGAGTACGGATGCGTGCCGCGTCATGGTGCTGATGGAGACATGCGGGGTTATAGACAGCGCGCGCCAGCAGGTTACCCACACCACCACCACCACACACAACATTGACGACGACAACAACGAACAGCAACAACAACAACAACAACAACAACAACAACAACAACAACAACAACAACAACAACAACAACAACAACAACAACAACAACAACAACAACAACAACAACAAGAAGAACAAGAAGAACAAGAAGAACAAGAACAAGAACAAGAACAACAAGAACAAGAACAAGAACAAGAACAAGAACAACAAACAATCCAGAAACACGTCCCCCCCCACCCACACCTCCTTCTCCTTAGCCATGAAGATCTTTCCGAGAACGCTCCGAGAGGCCGCGGAGGCGTTCGACGTCATCGCCGCCCCGAAGGCCAGCGCGCTGAAGCTGATCTCCCCCGCCGAGGCCATGGCCACGCCCCCGACCACGGGCAGGAGGGTGGTGTACACCTGCCACGGCATCGCCGACCCCGCCAGGAACGATAGCCCTGACGTGAACAGAGGCTCCGCGCCCTTCACAATCTGAAATGGGGAGGGCGGGGAGGAGGAGGACGAGGAGAGAGGGGAGGTCGAGAACGAAGAGTTTGGGTTAGGCTAAGATTAGGGGGGGGCGAGGGGGCGCAAAAAGCGGGCGGCAAAAAACAGGAGAGGTACAAGAACTGGGTTGGTTCGTTTGTACGTCGTTCGTTTGGGGGTTGGGGGTATTCATTTTCAATCGTGCTTGTCCCACTGCCGTAGAGACGGAGAAATGCTCCCCCTCCCCCCCCCCCCCCCCCCCCCCCCGCCCTAGAGCGTAGAGCGTCAGCAGTGGGAAGGGAAAAAGGGAAGGTCTAGCAGGACACTACAAGAGACTTGGAGTGCCCTCGGAGAATGAACCTTTCGACCAAGTGTTGAGGGAGGTGGACGCATGGGCCCAAAAAGAAGAAGAGACATCGAAGACAGACGTGGGGAACGTGGAACTAGAAAAGGAGTTCACTGAGGACGAGGTTGAGGCGTGTGTGAACAAGCTGAAGTGCCACAAAGCAGCAGGGGCGGATGGGATAGTCAACGAGTTCATGAAGTTTGGGGGGAAGGGGATGACCCAGCTGATGTTACTGCTGTACAATTGGGTGTGGACAAACGAGTATATGCCAAGTTGATTGAGGGAAGGAGTGGTTGTGAACTTGTTTAATTAAGAAAGGAGACAAGACTGGCCCAGGAAACTACAGGGGGATCACACTGTTCAACACGGTAGGAAAAGTCATCTGTAAGCTGCTGAACGATAGGATAGTGGGAGTATTGGAGAAGGAACATAGCATTAGTGAGGGCCAGGCAGGTTTCCGCAAGAAGAGGGGGTGCGTAGACCACGTGTTCACGGTAGGGAGAATCATCCAAGGTAGAAAGAGGGCGGGAAAGCCGACGTACTGCTTCTTCCTGGACGTGAAAAAGGCATACGACACCGTATGGAGAAATGGGGTGTGGAAACAACCGTCCCAATACGGGATCAAGGGGAAAATGTGCAGAGTGCTGTAGAAGATGACAGAGTGTACGAAAAGCGCTTTTGTCATCATGTTAGACGGAGAACTGTTCTTCGACATTGAGCAGGGGGTCCCACAAGGTTGCACGCTGTCCCCAACATTGTTCCAGGTGTTCATCAACGATCTGTTGGAAGTCGTAGAGGCAGTCCGGAAGGGAGTAAAAGTAGGGCAAACTGAAACGTCGGTTTCAGGAATGCTGTTTGCGGATGATTTTGTCGGTATGTCGGACACCCCTGAGGGACTGCAACTGCAAATTGACGCGGCGAAGAAGTTTACTGATAAGTGGAGATTGTCTGCCAACGTTCAGAAGAGTGCCGTCATGGTATGCAACGAGAACAAGGAGGAACCAGTAGAACATAGATGGAAGTGGGGGATCGAGGAGATTGCAGTAGTGGACCAGTACACATACCTCGGAGTAGAGATCGCAAAAGACTGCTCGTGGAATGCACACATGTCCAAGGTAGCGGAAAAGGGCAAAGCACGAGCAGGCAGCATGCACCCAATA